TACTTATAAAACAAGTATATTTTAAATAATGATTTGATTAATTGTAAAATCGACTTAGAAGATTATTATTGGAGAATTTACATACATATCAAGCCATTATTATGTATTAACAAATCAAAAAAATAGAATTTGATTTTACTTGAATAATAATTTAGCGTGAAGACTAAAGCAAGGCATGCATGAAAAGTTATATTTCACTTTAAGAAAGTTAATATTCATTGTATTTTTACACAACAACAATAACAAGCCTTAATCCCACTATGTGGGGTCGGCTAAATCATTTTCTCCATTGCGCCTATTTAGTGTCATATTTCCATTTAGTTTTAATAAATTAACATCATTTTTTATACAATATGCTACTACCTCTGCCTTTCTTAAACCTCTGCCTTTCTTAACATAAATCGAATCTAAACCATCTATTCTCCTAATTGGATCATCAGATGATCAACGTTTAATGTGACCAAACCATCTAAGACGACTTTCTCTAATTTTGTCTGTCACTGAAGCTACACCAACCCTATCACAGATATATTCATTTCTCATTTTACCTCTAAGTGTAAAGCCGCTCATCCATCTAATCATTCTCATCTCGGCAACACTTAACTTAGTATTATGCTTCTCTTTTAAAGACCAACATTCAGCACCATAGAGATTGCAAGTCTCACCACCATCTTATAAAATTTTCCTTTCAGTCTAAGCAGTACTTTTCTATCGCACAAAAGGCCTAAAGCATTCCCCAACTACAACCAACCAACTTGAATTCTACTATTAGCATCCCCATATATATCACCAGTGCCTAAGACGAGAATTACTTCTACTTTATTGAGCCCAAAGATGAAAGGATAATGAAATATATCATTTAACTCAAAGGTAAATCACTCATCGAATCTATCATCTAATCGCAACCTCCGCATAAAAATATTGTTAAAAGTTATCCACCTCCATGATACGTGTAAGATACCTATATCAAACATAAATATAGTTTGCAAGTTAGTATATGAAAGCTTTCTCAAGCTTGCAAGTTTTCATGCATATTCTACTATGTTACTCAATCATTCATGTCCATGCATAAATTGAACTACAAGAAACTAAATGTTATACGCAATGATCACTTGCAGTTAAATATGGTGTGCATCATGTATGATTTCCATAGTTGTAGACCAAGTTACTCATCTAAATTGAGGTTATAGTAAAGTTATATTTTAGCTCATGCCCAATGTTTTACGCTTCCTACGTAATAAGAAAAAAAAACATAACAGATCCTTCTGCCTTATAATATCATTATCATGCTAATACCATCTACCTATGAACTTGGCATTCACATGACACGATTCTAACTTAAAACATTATACACTAATAATGTAGACACATTCAATACAGATCAATTTCTGTTTTCAAGAGCTGTGGTACCAAATTACATTCTACTATTACAAGTATGTGAACGTGAGTACTCTCTCTAGACAATGTCATCCACTTTCTATGTTCCAACCATTGTTTGGTGATACAGTGGAAAATCAGGATGCATAGTTGGGATATTTTATCAGTCATTCTGCAAAGTATAATGGCTTACAGCTCAATGGAATTGTTCGTACAAGACAACCATGAAGTTTAGGTCATCAAGCTTAAAAAAACAACTCAACAATTCTATCAATAAACGAGTCAATTTGTTTAATTTTGAAAAATGGATAATTCTTTTCATTTTCTATTGACCTGATATCACTAAAGTTGTTTGAGATGCAAAAATATGATATTTAGGGTTCTCTTCCCAAGTCAGTTAATAGGCATGTGTGTATATGTTAGTGTGTTGTGTAAGTTATTGCTTTATTAGAAATTGTAGTCCCTGAGACTATTAAAAGCGTTCTGATCATGTATTGAGAGGAATTCCAAATGTTTCTAGTACCATATCTCACTTTCTCTTAACTTCTCTCCCTCTCCTTCCGTCATATTTCTTCCATCCCGTTCCACAATTTATTAAGTGGTATGAGAATACCCTTCCCCATGCAAAGTGACAACCTACTCAATGAAACATGCTTACCCAAGAATAATCCTCACTCTTCATTGCTCATACAACTTTCAACCTAATAAAACCCCATCCCACTTTTCAAGATATTCTTCCTTCATAATCTCCAGATGTAACCCCAATCACAAGTGTCCAACTTAACTCACTGACTAAGGGCTACAACCCCCAACTTTCTTCCAAGTAAAACTCAAATACATGCATTGCACTTTCCTACAATGATCCCATTACTGCCACTTCAATCTCACTACGCTTATTAACCTTCACTTAAGCACCTTAAATCGACTTGCTAACGCATACCTCTATTTTTTGTTCAAAACATGTGCACTCCATCATCTCTATGTGCTCATGCGTATGCCACCCGACAATATATGACACCTCTACCATAGAGGCAAGATAGGCCTTCTTTTATAGTTCACATGTTGTGACTCTATTGATGGTGCCACCTGAAAACTTGTTTGTGCAATGCATCATTAACATGATCTAATCACTAACATTATTCGTGCTTTATGTTATTACCAGTATGTGCCAACAAAACTCTAAATCTATCTCAAAGAGATTCCATGCACACACTCGTGCTCCCTCTTTAGCTTTATTTAACAACTTATCAAAAGTATATGTTCTTCATTATTTTGGACAACCCAAACAACTACTGAAATATTATATGATATTCACATGAAATCTCATACTTCTCACTGCACACGGATAAAATGTATTTTATGGGTTATCCAATCAAGCTCATCATTATTGGGTCCTAAAACTTAGCTTCACATGTTCAGTTCATAAACCTAATATGTAGCCTCCTTCCCACCACCCTACCCCCAAGATTAAGAACCAATATTTTAGTCTTACACCAACTTGTTGCCTTCCCGATTGACAATTTTATTGAACTTTATTCTCATGTATTCTAAACTTGCATCATCTATTTCCAATCATGATCCTTTTAGAATATTATTATAATACAAAGCAACATAAATCCACTCTTCTTATCAAATAAATATAACATCTACTTTTCAAAACAATGGAAGAGTATCTTATACAATTCATATAATGAATGCTATCTATCATAATTATCATGTGCATTTTCATCCATTTGATCACAAAAGAGCATATCATGCCATGCCTACTCTCACCTCCAATGTGATACACATCCATAGTTAAGCCACTTTGATTGACCTACTTATTTTCATGAAGTCTTAAGGGAAAAACTTGAGTTACTTCTCATCAAACTACTCCAATTTCAGTCCACCTTGAGCTTGACATTATGTTTGAGTCTGAGTCTCAACAAGAGATTGTGCAAGTGTCATTACTTGAAGTAGTATTGCACCCAAGTAAGAAAATAAAATAAAAACTTCAACCAACATTGTTGTTTCATATCATCCATAAATAAGATGCCATTTACATCTTCAAATCATCATGTCGGTGCTCACACACAATAACAGAATGTATGGGGACACTCATGTTCCAAAACAAAAATTTTAATTATCATACAGGTTATACTAAATTGCCTATACTATTATTGGCTTCTTCAAATGAACTAATTGACTTGAAGAGATTTCAGTTCATCTGAATTCAAAGACGGGTTTGAGCAAGAAATTGCACATATAATCTTACAAGGGATTAGTGTGCCACATTAGTTAAAAAAGCCTTCAACCACTATTGTTGATCAAAGTCCTATGTAAATGACTATAACTTCCATCAATAAATTTTCCAAATTCTCCACCAATGATTGAAACCTTTATACAAGGTTTACTCAACCAACTATATTATTAATGATTCATTCAACAATACAAGATGATGCCGTAATACCACCATTAATCAAATTGTATTGGAATTTCAGTTCATCTAATTCAAAATGCATATAATCGTTCAGCTCAGAAACCTCTAAATTATTCACATAATTAAAAACAAAACTATAAATAATGTTTCAAGTAAATGTCGATGCAGAAGTTTAGAGCATTTGGATAGTTTTGCAGGTTTCAAGTAAAAGTTAACGCAAGATTTCTAAGCTACTCCCTTGGTTCTCAATATCTAAATTTTCAAAGCTAGTTAAACATAGGAAATGGGCATGCACATGTATTATAACAATCACAATAACAGCAACGAATAAAGTCAATAAATAAAGTCACCAGCTTCAGTTCTCAATGACATCTCAAGAGAAAAAAATTAGTTTCCAAGGTAGACCCGCCTAGCACATTTCAAAATAAAACTAGCATAAACTTTTAGACTTTAATTAGCAGGGTGTTAGTATACTATAAGGAATTACTCATGCCACAAATATAATAAATACAAAAAATAAATAGTTAAGCAGCAGAGGCATATAAAAAAAACAAACTCCAATACAAAAGCAACAAAGTAAAACAGTAAAGAAGTTAAATAAATATTTACTTGATAAAATAGCAAAGACAGCATGCGAATTTAGGAAAATAGTATTACCCACTAAAACGAAAGCAATCTCGCTGCAAATTGTTTTCTGATGAAAATGAAATAAACTTCTAATTTTCTATTTCAATTTCTTTTCAAACTCTCTCAGTTACTCCAGCAATGTAGCTATAATAAAAAATGTCACTCAATGTTGTTAAGCATATGGGTGCAACAACTAAAAAATTTTCTTTATAATTAAAACATGACAGGACATATCTCATTTGTCCGACCTCAAAAAACACTATATCCACATAAACACAATTTTTAGCTTAGTCATATGGTAACTATGTGCTTGCAAAATTTGCTCAAGCGAGTCTTCAATATATGAACTGGAATAATATGATATCAACAGATGATTTTAATGGATTACGACAGCAAAATAATATTATAGCAATTCAATCTAAGAACATACGAATTAAATTAGGAACTCTCATTCAAATAAAAAAAAAGAAGAAGTAAAATAAACTAGAAAAAACTACATATTTAACTAATGTTGCACATTCATGCTCTAATAATACAAAATGAAATTATGCAATCCTCATGCCATTGCAATTGGTGCACTTTGATTAGCAATCTAGAAAAGAATCACTTCCCACCGACCATGCTAATAGTTCTCCCAATATTGCACACTTCACCAATAACACGTCCACCAAACCGACTTCCATGACGAGTTGTTAGTATTTATAAAAGAAATATTTAGCCTATTAAACACTCAAAATAAAAATAACATTTACATCTTAGTTCAAGAGTAAGGATATGTCTGGTTCAAAGAATTTAGAATTCAAGCATGTTCTAAACATATGTAAAATAAAATCAATACATTTAAAATACTATTTGGTGCTTGGTTTGCTATAAAGTAATTTCAGTATTACATTTTTTATGTTTGGATCACTACAAAGTGTATAAAAGAAATTTTAAAGATTCTTTTAGGTCACAAATTGAGGTTAATGCTAGAGATCCGAGTGGAAGTCATAATAGATACCAAGCTTGGAACAACAAAGTCAAAGGAAAGGTTGATAGCCCCATCTGATGTTGAGAGGTTGAAGAGGAAGCCATTTGTGATGAAGTCAACAACAATGTGATTAAGCCACCATTTAAAGACCACATAAAAATTAAAAAGTCAGCATCAAAAACTTCATGGTCAAAACACTAAAGTCAACATCAAAAGCTGGTGTTAGCCATGAGTTCGCATTGGAGGTCATGTAACCCAAAAAAGTCGCCGCCCACGTTTGATGGAGGCCTTAGCAGGGGAGTTCACATGGTGCAATGGATACGAAATTCGCCCAACTACAATGAATTTCAAATACAACAAAAATGAATAAATTGATGTATTCAAGGCCCCTCAGAAAAATGAATGGTACTTTTACATGCATACCACACAATTCTTAATCTCTTATGTACTTACATATCTAATACCTAAAGTTTTATTTTAGTCAATCAATGTGTTCATTCGGTCTTCAACAAATATTTCAATAAGAGCTACAAAATATTAACTAAACAAGTGTTAAGCATCTGATTTGAATGGCTAAGCATTTTCATCCCTATACATTTGTTATGAGGTGTATCGGTAGTTATATGAGTATAATAAAAGGTTTTGCTAGGCAAGTTGCTTAAAAAGGTCAACCTATTTTTAATTTTAGTTTCTCAATAGCATCAAAACTAAGTTATTCCAGCTCTTAGACAAGGTTATGCGTATAAATCCTCTAAGCTCACAAAATGCAGTCAAGCTCAATTAAAACCACATCAGGCAAAATAATGATTAAAAGAAAAATTAAAGGAGCGTGAAAAAGGTTTCCAAAACTCAAATAGTGCTAAAGATATCCGCACTATAATAAGACAAAAAAGGGCTATTTCAACAGCATGCCCCATTAACCTGTAGCTCTAACAAGGTGGCCAAGTTGAAAATTATATTCATTATTGAAAGATGCTAAACTAAAACGTTAGATGAATCATAAACATTTATTTCTTAATAGGGGCAATATCCTCTAAGTCTCCCTCACAGCAAAACTTCCATGTCAATGGCTCCTACATAAACAATCAATCTTATCTCACACTTATCATCTTAAACAATGCTATTAAATAGTAAAGGATAGTGTGCATGGGCTCCTAATAATTCACTATTTTGTTCTCATCAAGATTATCTTGAGAGATTACCCTCGTAAGTTGCATACTAAATATTCCTATGGAATCAAAAAAGGTGTGAAGGACCTTTATCGAGCAAGGTTTATCGCCCTGCAACGCATATCCTATCTCCAAAGATGAGAAAAAGCAACTAATATCAAGAACCAGTCCATACATAAAAATACCAGCACCAAATGTGGTGCTACTTTGTAACTTCTGAGTAATAAAAAGCAAATAAATAACCCGGACCACATAGACATGAATAATAGCAACAAATCAACAAAAAAGTAGGTAATATGAACAAAACTAAATTCAAACCATCATTCTCCAGAAGAACCACAGTATGAGAAATTTGGAGTTAGCAGGACTTCACTTCCTCCCGTTATATAAGTCTGTTGAACACCAGCAATGTTTATTAGTTTTTGAATGCCCTAAAGAGTATATGAATATGAACTCTAAAGAAAAATTTGTTTATGGTTAGATGCTAAGGTCTTGAATTGTTACCTGTCATAAGTTAATAGAGCAATTGAAGGACTGCCAAAACCTAAAACTCTTTACTTCAATTAATTGCCCATTCAAGCAATTTGTACAATCACAAAAATATCACACACAAAGTGGTGAAAAAAAATAAAAATGTATGACTCTCAGATTAAATCAATATACGACAAAACTTTAGAATACAATTAAAAAACCAAATTTGCAACAGCAGCTAGACAAACAAGACTGCCAACTGGTAATATCAGTCCTTTTCTATTTATTTAGATTTTTTTTAAAATCAAGCATACCCGCATATGCAAGACCTTAAACTCAGATCTTGTGGTTGAAGCCAACGCACTGAACCACTAGGCTAAATCGGTTGCACAAGATGATAACGAACAAAACTGTTTTCCAACCCAGCTCAATGTCAAATAAAAGTTATTTGATCCAATCTCAAGCATAATTAAGTTTGGTAATTGGATGGCTTGACTTGATCTTAAGTCAAACCAAGTCAGACATGCTAACTTTCATCGAAATTTGATTCAAGCCAAAAACCAATCTGATTTTGATCAAGTTTTAATCTTCTAAGATAATTTTTTTGTAAAATATTCATAAATAAACACAGTTCAAGATGCACAGATTCATATATGAAAAGGCAGAGATGGATATATAAGATAATTCAAAGCTTAATACATACTTAAAAATAGATATGCAAATGGATTAATATATATATTTTAATCTAATCTCAACCTAGCTCGTTATGATAAAATCTCAATATAATTCAAGTTCTCTTCAAGCTGGGTTTTGCCTCTTTTGCAAGCCCATTTGACTTTGATCCAAGAATTGATCAGATGAGATAGAAAATTTTCATTTTTCCAGAATAATCTTATTAAGGAAAAGAATTATAAGATTTGGACATTAAAAACAAACATATTTTCTTGGCACCACCGAGACTATTTTTCCAAGATGACTTCCATTCGAAAGGCAAAAGGTGCGATGCTGACTGCCTAAAATCAGCGTATTAACATTGGCTATCAGCTCAGTACTTTTGTGAAGTTCAGAAATTACTTCCATCTCAGCTTCTGATGACAGCAGATTCAGCTCGCTAGTATTATTAGAGCCCCAGCATATGCAACTGAAAGATCCATTGTGTTTCCTATTAATATCACATACCCCATTGCTTTGTTAGAGGAAAAGAACGCACAATGGTAAGCACGATCTCAAATATGCGGGAAAGGGCATCTAACCTTTCTAATCTCAACTCTCCTGTCTCCATCAAAACCCTACCATTCATTCATAAAACTATCCCTCTACCCCTCACCCCCAAACCAAATCCTATCCCATTCATATAACACCAAAAACCCTAACCCTTACTCTCCCAAAAAAACACACATTATATGAAATTCATTAAACATGTTCAAAAATAAAATCTGATTGTCCAAACAAAACAAGTCAGTCAAATAAAAACAAGCTGAGATGATGATAAGCATATCATAGCACGCTCAATCCTCTGACGTTAAGGACTACAAAAAAGAGTACTGTAAATTGATCATGCGATAAGCCCATCTAAGGAAATGCCATTTTCTACATGGACCCCTAAACCTTTCACCAACAAAATACAGCATAAGTAAAAAATATATAGAACCACATCAATTCTTTTTTGTTTCTTAGGGGGGTGGGAGAATTAGCAAAAAATTGCAATGTATGTGGCTTTGCCTGTGACCTTAAAGAAAGAATCTTCTCCAATAATCACTCGGCCACAAAACCTTTCTGATAAAATTTATTATTTAACAAGGAAAAAGAAACGACCGATGCAGACTCATCATATCTCTCTGCCGTGAAACGGAATATTTCACATTAGTTTAGCAAGTTTTCAATAGAAAATTTTACCACGTCTCTTAATTCCTTATATATCTCACATTAATATCAGAATTTTTATGATGTAAAACTTGGCGCCACATCTTTTCACTCCCTGTGGAAGATGATCAGATGATATCCTAAAGAACTAAATATGTCAACCTTTAAAAACATCATGTCTTGAAAATTCTCAATATAATTTTAATTTCCAACTAAAATTGACTGTGAATTCAATAATTTTTTTCATGAATTTTTTAAATTTGTCAATGGTCTCAAAAAGAAAACTTATGAGTCCACCAAAAGTGAGGTAATACCAAATTTAAACTAGTAATTATATTCCTATTATGCATAACATGAGAAAGCAAATGTGAAAATTTTTCAACCCTAACAAAATGCCTATATGTAGATGCACCAAAATGATTCAAAATGCCAAAAGAATAGTGCACGTAAATTGGCACACAACTCAAGCAGAGAAATCATGAGATAATATAAAATACAAACAAGAATAAAGAGTTGTAAAAGCATGAATCATGAGATGCATATAAAGATGAATATCACTATAAAAAATGTAACGATTTATGTAAGTTAAAAGCCTCTTGACACTTTCTTGCAATTAACATTCACATATATGGAAAAGTATCAGCTTATTTGACTACATATGCCAAAAACCCACAACCAAATAGAGAATACCTGAAAGATTAAAAAAATGTAAAAAATCAGAACTTGTGCCCGGACAGGACTACAGCAATGGTTTCAAAACCACAATATTCAAGGGCTGCTATATTTAGTTAGTAACCACTTGGACCACCAAACAACCAACTTTTGGCTAGTACATGTCTATGGACACATTTGTTTGGTTGCATCCATTAATTTGAATAAACACCCTTTCATCATCAATTAAAAATCTGGATACAAAACTGAATGGGCAAATGAGAAACATTTTTTCATTTATTTGGAGAGAGAAAATATGCATCCAGGCAAACCAACCTGAGAAAGAGCCTAGTTTGATTATATAGCATAGTTGCTGAATTTATAAGAACACGTCATAAAAAGTCCAACAGAACAAAAGAAAGCAACTTTAGTTTAATCATGACAGCCAAAGTCGCCAAATTATAAGCAGGCAAAACTTACATGAAAATTTTGGGTCAAGAGAACTACAATCTCCAACGCATTAAAATATCATAACATCATCCATTTAAAGCTGCACTCAAAGGAAGCAAAATAGGTAGAATCTTAAGAAATGTTCGCGCAGCAAAGTGACAGGAAAGTTAAAGCAAAGCAGATTAGATATCTCTTTGCAATAGTAGATATTACCAAAACCAAACTTGTTGCAGAAACTTCAAGGCCAAAAACTTCAGAAAGTTTAAGCAGCAGCCTGAAAGAAAAAAGAGGAACAAATAAAGAAAACTGAACGAAAGCCTCAAAAAATTCAAGGTATAAAAGCAAGTCTAAAAGAATAAAGAAGTTCATTAACTGGACAATAATTTAATTTTCACAATTCACATGCAAGTACCATGATTTCAACGTCTACCCCCACGGTTTTCAAAGCTCGCCTTTCTTGACTTATTTTTGTCATCTGTCTCCTCGGAGGTTCTACAAAAATGAAGTAAACAATTAATCTATTGCTGAGATCTAAAGAAAATGTCACATACATGAAACAAAAGTTTAAAATAACGACAATTTGTGTTTCTTTGCATTCTCTTTCTTGATGTTAAGAACTATCTCCATTGCCATATTCTGATGATCCTTTGTCTGCGAGTGCACCTCCAAACCCTCAACTGTTTCACAGTCAATCTTGCATAAGCGGCACCACCCCATGCTTCCGTGCTTCCTCTTCCTTAAATGCTCAAAAGAATCAACATCACCATGTAGAGAAACCTGGATCAAAATTAGAATGACCACCAGGAATGCCGCTTATGGAGCAAAATTCAGAGATCAAATTTCATATATGATAAAAGAAAATTTAAAAATACATGAAAAAAGTAAGCAAAAACTCACCGAATCATGAACAGGATAGCTATTAGAAAGTCCTGAATCCCCAATTGGAATTCGACCATATCCACCAAATCCAATTGACTCGCTGCCACGAAGTGGAGCATGACCAGCTGAATCATTGAGCCTCAGATGGCTAGGCAAATTCCAACCACCATAAGGTTCACCACCTCTAATATTATTTGCCAATCCATGGCCAACATGTTCAGAAGCACGCAAACGATTGTGAGAGCCATCAAAAGCATCTATTTCCTTCCTAAAAAGACCAGGCTCCGCAAGGAAATTCCCTGGGCCATCTGGAATACCTGAAAAGATATGGAAATGAGAATCAGCAAAAAAGAAAGTAGCACTCACACGCAATATAACTATGTCTATAGATGTTGAGAAAAAAATCTCTACCTGGGCTTCTCATACCAGGAAAATTATCAATATGAGGACGACCAAATTCAGGAAAAGGCCTGAGACGCTCAGAAAATGATTCATGCTTCCCACCCAAATCATCATGGAAAACAGGACCCCTTTGTCTATCTGAAATCTCCAATGGTCCAAATTCTAAACCAGCACTACTAGGAGGAAATCGACCACCCAATGGAAGTGGGGGAAATGAACCCACTGACGCTCTATCAAATGGCCTAGGTCCACCATCAGGTACAAAATGTTGACCCCTTTCTACTGGCCTGCTACCAGGCCCATACATATTAAATCTATGTGACCCATCAGCATCCAAATGACTAGGCCTAGGGAATTGTTTCAAGTCTTCCTCAAAATCCCTGTGGATTGCAGTGGTCCGGCCAGAATCCATCATTGGCCTAAATTTATCATGTTCAGAAGCTCTCAAACCCTCGTCAGGCAATAAGTTAAACCCTTCTCCAGCTGGTGGTCGAAATCTATCATCCGACACACCATGTGAAAATGCTGAATCATGCATGACACCAGCAGGCCCCATACCTGACAAACCATTCATTTTCATCATGTTTGGAAGCATAACAGTCTGCTGTCCAAAAGGAGCATTTTCACCAGGTAACGGTCTATGGGACTCTGACCGTCTGCCATCATAATATCCTGGCCCTTCCATCAAGTTTACTGGACCAGACCGACCAGCTCGATCTTCAAAACCAAAGTGAGAGCCCCTCGTCAGCACGCCACTTGCTGCATCAAATGCTCTAGGTGGAGGCCCACCCATAACTGAACGTGCAAATGGATCAATTTGAGCAGCCCCTGGAGCAATAGCATTAGGTTGAGGCGCATGGCTTTGGCTTCGCATAGGAAATAAATTAATTTCCTCTGAATTTGATGGAGGAATGTTAGAGCTATATGGTTGTTTTGCTGCCGGCGGTAGAAAAGATTCTGCCATAGCTGGGGTCTGAACCGGGTAAGGAAAATTTTCTGAATATCCAGGTGGCCTTGGCTGCCCAGGTACTGTTGGTTGGCCGTGCACAGGAATAGTATGGGGAAAAGGTTCCTGGAACCTCCTCTCTTGACTGGGTAAAACATGAGGCATGTTTTGTGAAAACATTCCATCGGGTCCAGAAGGTCTTTGGGACACCATTGCTGCATCTAAGTTGGGAGGGTGACCATGAGGAATATTCTGTGGAGGATATCTCTCGTGAACAAGTACAGGACCAGCTGGAGATATTCCACGGAGGCCAGCTGCCCCTGCTTGAAGTGGAGGAAATTGGGATATACCTTTATCATAATACCCAGATGGCGGGAATGCTTTTTCATGCGCTTCCACATCATGCTGCTGCTGCCCCTGGGGCATTGAATGAGCAGTCTGAATGCTACTAGCAGTATTTCCAGCAGTTTGGCTTCTACTCCCAGAAGATTGATCCAATTTCTCCATTTGTTTGGTGTTCCCTAGCAGGGGCTGAGCTACATTAGGACCATCTAATGCGGAATCAGTGGTGACTCCTTCAATCAATTGTTTAGTGTTTTGCTTTCCCTCAGTCCGGTTATCTTCTTTCGCTCCTTCAATATTTTTATAAGAGTTAGATTCTTCTGTTCCATCCTGGAAATCTGCCCCTCTTAAATTCTTCGGTATCAAACCATCCTTCTCCTCCGTTTCGGAGTTCTCATTAACATCAATAGGTGTCGACCCCTCAGCGAAGGATTTGGAGTCACTATCAGGCTTAGAAATAGCAAGCTCAGAGGATCTAGAAGTTTCATATCCACCTGCATTTCCTGTGGCTGTTTCAGCCTCCGATCGTTTCCCTTGGCTGGCCTTATCTAATATAGAATCAACAGGTTTTTCAAGCGCAGCTGACTTCATGTCTGATCCAACTGCAGATACTTGGTTAGCATCTATGCCAGAACGAGAGGCAACAGAAATCAATGAGCCCTGGCTACCAGAATGTAATTGAGATTGGTTGATGGATCCATGTTGTCTGGCCGAATGATTATGATCAGGTGAGTGTTGATTCATGCCAGACTGAAATGGTTTTGCAGAAGAATGTTGAACTTGCGGCGGCAGTGGTTGGTTTGGTGCCATAGCCCGTCCTTGGGATGGAGGTTGCATGTATGGCTGAACCTGTGATCTTAAAGAATGCTGAGAATGCTGAGAATGTGAAGGTTGTTGTGATGGAAATCCACCCTGTTGAAGCATCTGTGCAGATGGAAAGTGGCCGGGTGCTTGCTGTTGAGGCAAAAGTTGCTGCTGCGGAAGCACTTGAGCACTCACTGTCGGATGCATCTGTTGACCAGGCTGATGGGCCAAGTGCTGAGCTAGTGGCTGCGATGCAGCACCTGGATATGGAGCTTGTGCATGAGGTTGCATAGCAGGGTATTGCTGTGTTTGCAAAGGCATATGAGTCTGTGGGGGCCTCATTTGTTGGGCTTGATGACTGTGGAACTGATTTTGAGAAGTTTGTTGAGGCACAACAGGCTGCTGGGGATTCATAGGCCGTTGCTGTGGTACACCATGAGGTATTTGCTGGAGTGGCTGGGACTGAGGATAAGATTGATGCCCTGTAACCCCGTGAACAGATGGATTCTGAGCTTGATGAGGCTGAGGCTGGGGCTGGGATTGAGGCTGGGGCAGGGGCTGAGATTGGAGCTGGGGCTGGGGCTGGGCTGGGGAAGAGGGCGAGGTTGCTGCATATGTGGTTGTTGAAATTGAGGCTGGGGCTGGTTGTATGATTGTGCCGGAGGCAGTGGTGCTGGATGTGGCTGACTTTGCAGGTGTTGTAATTGTTGCAGAGGTGGTTGAGGAAGCTGCTGTGGAAGAACAGACGGTTGATGCTGCTGAGCCTGTGGATATGGATGCAGTTGTGGATAATGGGGTTGCCCAGCAGGCACTATGAGCTGAGTGGCCTGTGGTGTAATTTGTGGCGGTAACTGCTGATGAGGTTGCTGAACAGGAACTTGCTGAGTTTGAGGAAACTGAGAGCGTGAAAGGGCTTGAGCTTGAAGTTGTGCTTGAGGATGAGCATGTGGTTGGGGCATAGGCTGGGGCTGAGTCTGGGGCTGTGGAAGGGCAGGAAGTTGGGGATGGGGCTGGGGCTGGGG